CCCCCCCTCCCCTCTTCCCCTCCCCCACCTCAACGGCTAAATAGCCGTTTGAGGTGTGCCCCCCACCTTTTTTTTTTTAATTTTTTGCAGAAGGATTTTCAAATCAACAAGAAAAAAATAATAATAAACCGGTACCGGAACCGGACCGGTACCGGTACCGAAAAAAATAGGTACCGGAACCGGTACCGGTTCCCGGAACCGGTGACACGGCTACCTTGCCGATGACGGTGGCGGGTACCGGCGGTACTGTTGCCGGTGACGGTACCGTACCGGTACCGTGTCCACCCCTACCAACAACTTATGAGATATATTTTTAAAATATCAAAATTCATACTAGCACTAGTATTTTGCACCAAAAAAATTACAATATCAAAATACATATAGTAGACCTTTTAGATTATTTTATTTTTATTTTTAATTACTTTTTAGATATATTCAAAAATACTATGAATGATATTAAAAAACAAAATATGCACCATTGCTGAAAAAAATGTAAGATAATTATGTGATATCATTACACACTTATTTTAAAATGTTTGTTTACAGTTTACACACTAAAAATGAGTAATAAAAAATATATAAAAACATAACTTTATTTTTTAATGCATTGTTTTTCATATTAGTACATGATTTTGAAAATCTCTTAAGTTAGTGGGTCAGTCGAATCGGGCCCAAATCAAATGGGCTGAAAGCTATATTCATATATGACTATTAAGATGGGCTGGCAGCCCACCGGACATTTGGGTCTAAGAATGGCATCAAGAAATACATTAACAATTTTACATCGAAAAAGACTTAAAAAGATTATTTAGGTATATTTTTATGGAAAAATTACTCAAAATAATCCCAACTTTACCCAGTCTTTTAAAAATAATCCAACCTTTCACTGTAATGCATAATAATTCCAATTTTATTGAAATTTGCCAATTTTGGGTCGCCGTTAAGTTTCTAACGGAGTGTTAACGGAAATGCCCGTTTTAGGCAACAAAATGAAAGTTGGGATTATTTTTGATGAATTTTTGTTTTTTAATTTTTTTTAAATTTTTATTTAAATTTTTTGAATTACTTTCAACCTCCATTTCTTTTTCTTTTTTAAAGATTATTCTTACCTTAAAAAAAAATATAAAAAATTATGACTAAACGGCGACCCAAAACTGGCAAATTTCAGTAAAGTTGAGATTAATATGCATCACAATGAAAGTTGGGATTTTTTTTAAAAGACCAGGTAAAGTTGGGATTATTTTTAATAGTTTTTCCTATTTTTATACCCTCTCCGTTTAAAAATTATCTCCCCTTTCATTGTTCACACTTCACAGTCAAAGTTTATTCATCTTGTTGTCTTATTTTCGTTGCC